AAATCGTAATCAACTCAAACCCAAATAACAGTCTTCCAACTGAAATTATCTTGGGAAAGATAAGAATTTTATAACAGTTATCTTTGTTTTGTATGAAAAGGGTCCTGGCTGAGCGCGTCCACAGGGCTCTTAAGAGCCCTGATACACATTTGGCAATAAATCTTCCCTTCAAGGTAAACATGCACTCCTCTTTCCCTGCCCACTTCGCCGTCTGGTCTATGAGCGTCATGGTCGTTTATGAGCGTAATTATGTTTTTAAATCTGAAGAGAATGAATGCAAAAACATCGCAGTTTAGTATAAAGTTTTCCATTTGCTACCACATGAACAATTATTTTAATGCACATCTTTGAATTAAATTAGCTAGAGTATAGCATATTACATTCGATACTTTCAGGATTCTATGTAATCATTGGAGTTTTCCATTCGATGTGAAAATTTTCCATGTGAGAAATTTATTAAATACGAAATTAAATTATTATTACCATTACCAATTATTATTACCATGATAGTAAAAAAGCCGATTTCTATGATAATAAATGTATAATAAATAAAAATAAAAAAAAACGGTTAAGAAATGTATTTAAATTCAAATCATTCTACTTCTGTGGAAATTTTTTCATGGTTAAAAGGAGCCCTCAATAATACTTTGCACATCGCTTAATAATTTATAATATTCATGTCAGACTCAGCCCACTGAATTACTGTCATACTGAATTACTGATTTAAATAATTATTACTGTGATTTACTACATTTGTCATTTACTACATTTACTACAACTTGAAGTCGTACAGGANAATAAATAAAAATAAAAAAACGGTTAAGAAATGTATTTAAATTCAAATCATTCTACTTCTGTGGAAATTTTTTCATGGTTAAAAGGAGCCCTCAATAATACTTTGCACATCCCTTAATAATTTATAATATTCATGTCAGACTCAGCCCACTGAATTACTGTCATACTGAATTACTGATTTAAATAATTATTACTGTGATTTACTACATTTGTCATTTACTACATTTACTACAACTTGAAGTCGTACAGGTAGTCGTGAACAATATTGAGCCTTGCATAAATTATTCATAACAAACTTTGCATAAATCAACTTTATACAGCCCGACGCAAAAGGTTAGCCCCACCCCTTTAAAACATCATAACACGTCGAGTTTTGCCAGTTTTAACGTGCAAATGGTGGCAAACAATTTGTCTTGCGCTCTGCAATCTATAGCAGGTAAAATTTGGTGAAAAAGTTAATTACTGGCGGAAAAATCAAGCGGTCCGTGTTTTTGCACCGACGCAAAAGGTTGGCCCCACTTTGCAAGTTTGGCGCTCTTGCGGACAGGACGCAGCGTAGGCTCGCTGCAAAGGGTGTGTTCATAGCGTAGTAGTTGTGCACGGATCTTATGCTCACCTAGGCAAGAAATGGGCGCGGGAAAGACTCTAACTGAGTTTCAGAAAGGTGCCATTCAAGCCCTGATGGCGCTGCCTGAGGGCGAGCATCCTAGCCTGCGTCAAATGGAGTCACAAGTGGGGTGTAGCCGCAAAGCCATCTCCAACTATCTCAAGGACCCCGTGAACTATGGAAAGCGGCACACCAAAGGCCGCCCCAAGAAGATGTCGGCCCGTGACACTCGTCGCCTCTTCTGAGTTGCGGCGCCCGGCAACTTGAGCGCGCCCAAACTAGTCCAAAAGTTGGAGCTCAATGTCTCCAAGTCCACCGTCTCTCGCACCCTCGCGTCCTCCGGCATCTTCCAATACGTGAAGATGAACAAGGCCCCCCAATTGACCGAGGCTCACAAGCATGCTAGGGTCGCCTGGGGCACAAAGTATGCAAGTATTAGTGATGACACCTGGGCCAAAACCATCTTCTCTGATGAGAAGAAATGGAATTTGGATGGCCCAGATGGTCTGAAGTACTACTGGCATTGCCGAAGGAATGATCCAAATGCAGCTTTTAGCCGCCAAAATGGCGGGGGCAGTGTAATGGTGTGGGGGGCCTTTCATGCAAACGGGACGAGCGAGCTCGTCTTCCTCGAAGGCAACCAGTGCGCGGACGACTATGTCCAAACCCTCGAGGACCATCTACTTCCCGTCATTCGCCGCGGCACCATCTTCCAACAAGATAATGCCTCAATCCATACGGCGCGCACGACCAAGGCCTTCTTCAAGCGTGCCAAAATCCGGGTTATGGACTAGCCAGCCAAGTCCCCTGATCTGAATCCCATTGAGAACGTCTGGGGGTACATGGCTGGGATCGTCTACGCCTGCGGGAAGCAGTATGACACAAAAGACGGACTTGAGTTGGCCAGTCAAGCCGCCTGGTCCAATCTGGACCCCAACTATCTCCGTAGATTGTCTCGGCATGAAAAAGCGGTGCTTGGATGTCTACAAAGCCAACGGGGAGCATATCGGTAAATAACATTTAGTATTGCAGCTGACGTATGTTTTGTTTTACCTAAAATGACAAAGTGGGGCTAACCTTTTGCGTCGGTGCAAAAACATGTGTTTTTCATTTTCTCCGTTACTAATTACATTTTCACTAGTCTATTGTACTTTGATTACTGAGACCAAGAAGATTCGTTTGACACCATTTGCACCATAAAACTCGCAAAACTCGATGTGTTATGATGTTTTAAAGGGGTGGGGCTAACCTTTTGCGTCGGGCTGTAAATAAATCATCAACTTTGCAGAAATCATTCATAACAAAGAATGAATGGTTGTAAAAATATATGGAGCGATCTAAATGGTAATATTGTTTATGAATTCATTGGAACATATTCAAATAAAGTTGAAAATTCCATTATAAATTATTTAGCACTGATATGTTACATTCTCCATTTAATGAACAGAGAACGAAAACTATCACGAAAACAGGAATGAAAACATATCATGAAAAAATGAATGTTAAACAATTTTGCACAGTTAGTTAAAGAATTTTTTTGCATTCCCAGCAAGGGAATGCGTGTGTACATTTAAATGCATTAGAGGGTGTTTCTATTTCTATTATTATAATAAATTATAATTATATTATTATAATAAAAAATTAGGCTTATTTTCTGTGACAATGTGGTAAGACGATGCCACTTGTATTGTGTACAGTACACAAAAGAGCCATACTTGAGAGCATGAGCATCTCTTACTACCTGTGTTGGGGCGACGATCACCGACTGAGAGACAAAGAAAACAAAAGGCAATTGATGAATGTGGAGGCAAGGAGGGAGTTGAGGTGAGCCCCAGGGGGTTGAAAGAAGGGATAAATTCCTCAATACTCCTGTTTTATTTACCCCTTGGCTGAAATTGGCTGAATATATCACATTTATTATTACAGGGATGAGACAATATTGGCACTGGATTTATCCGTGTTTGTTAACCTGTTGACATGGTATGATTGTGTGAACCTATTTGAGGGTATGAGGGTATCTTCACCCTAACCCCCACATCGGCTGTGAGGCTGAAACCACTGAACGTTGTTTGTTTATAGTTGTAGCGGGTAGGGGAGGGGATCAGTATGAGCGTGGAGGGGAGAGGAGGCGTTCGATTATTCTAGCCTTTTATTTCTTTACCAGTTCCCAGACTGTTCATTGTTTTTGAACGGTGACGAAGTATTCCAAACATAAAAATATATATATAATATTTAATGAACAGACTACATCATTACTAGGAATGACATATAACAGAGGTTTCAGGAAAGACAATGAGACTGTAATGTAAAATAAAAGCTGTTGTAAAATTAAAAGTGTACAATAAGTCTGTCTTCAAATTTTTTTACTTAGCTTTGGGGCGTTGAATAATACACTAGTTGACAAACCACACAGCTCTATCCCCTATATGTTACGCCCACTCAATACATGACCCAATTATTTAAGCAATTAATTCATTCACCAATTTCTCTCTACATTCATCCTTTTCCTCCAACTCCCTCAATCATTCAGTCCCCCGTTGTTCAGTGGATACTGTTCGCAGTGCACTGAATTTCTCCCATCGGCAGCAAACGGTTTATGTACTAGTGAAAAATAAGCCGCTGTCTGCAGTGAAGATGAGAAATTTTGCCGTAACTGAGGAACTCGAGAGATTTTAAAAAGTAATGAAAATGTATGCCTCGACGTGCTGACATGAAATTATGGTATTTATGCTCGAGCATTTGCAGTAAATCATTCGTAGTAAATCTTCGCAGTAAATCTTTCGGTAATTACAAGTTTTATTTTTACAAGATCTACACAATAATGGACGCAAAATGAATAAGAAGTTTTTATCAGTACAAATGGAGACAGTGTGGACGGTATGCGTGGAGAGTGTAGGAGAATGCGCAGCCAGACAACGGATGGCCAAGTTTGGACTGAGGCACAAACTCGAGCAGCGGATTTTACAAGCGGCTGCGGCCCGGGCTCGATACTGAGTTCCGCGACCGCTACCCCAGACTCTTAAGGGCATTGCATTCCAGATTTCCTGCCGTGGGTCAGTGGATTCTACAGTTTATTTGACTTTGCTCCCATTTTTGTTATCCCTCTAGAAGATAAGCAAACTTTACACTGGTATTGAGCAACTCATCTTCTTGGATGTTGATGTATCGCACCAATTTCAAGCTTTTCCAATAAGTTTTCACTAAACATTTCTAACTTCATCTTGGGTACCTTGAACGACATTATCTTTGCTGTTCTGCTGCACTCGGACAGTGGTGGTGAATGCAAAGGGAACTCAGTTTTGAACTGCAAAGCCTCCTTCACCTACAACACTTTATTAAAGAATTTTTTTCATACTTATTTATATTTAAAATTCTTCCTCAATGATATTGCCTTTAGTTTCCTCATGCCAAACATGAGGATTTGCAGGTGTTGAATAAACTCCAATAGCTTTCCTTAATTGTTCTTCAGCACTGCATAATTGATAAAATTGTATTTATTTAACTCTGTGATCTTTATCATTGTGTACTTAACAATAGATATTTTTTATAACTGAGTTGGTGCTAATTTTATGAAATGTTTCTATATTCCTCAGTAGATTTGGTTGTTAAGTTAAGCATAGTTTTGCTGACAGGTCCATTGTTAATCAGATTTATTTGTTGCCTGTTCTTTCATTGCTCCAAGTTCACTGTTTGAGATCCTAGGAATTAAGCAATGGGCCAGCATGTCTCCAGAACAGAGTTTGAGACCGCATACACTGAGGAACCTCATGCCTCGCGCCGCATACAAATACTTAGTAAGTCAAAACAACGTGGCATTCTGTTTTGTAGCATTTCATCACAACTTTTTGTCTGATAGATGACAATTTCTTGCAAGCTTCATTTGGACCATTTGAATGAGAATCTATGTGATCAATATTATGTTGGGTGCATTCCATATATACATAAATATATTCAAACATTTAAAAATAATACTTCATGTATTGTACATAAAATTTTGAATTCCATATACTTTGAAATGAGAAATTAGATTAATGTGATAATTGATAAATAGATAAAGAAAAACTGATGTGTAAATATTGAAAGAACTGATACGTGTAAATATTGTCTGATATTCCACAATCAGAAATTGATTATTGGCACTTCTCATTTCCTGTGAGTATAATTGAGACTTTATTCACAGAATCCAGTAAACTGTTACACAAGCACTTATGTGTGTTTAGTGTCTTTCAGTACTGAATGCTATCCTCAGTATCCTGAGATGTGTGTTTAGTGTCTTTCAGTACTGAATGCTATCCTGAGAAGTTATCTTAAATAGAGCATTCAAATAATATTTACATGATTTAAATTTAAATATGTGATGAATTTTGTGACTCTAGGAGTATATGCACAATTTAAAATCTAAATGCTAAAACATATATTACATTCATTGTGATAGTTTCCAAATTTTAAGTTGTTAACAAAATAAACAAATTGAAATATTTCACTTGGATAATTTTCATACAGAAGCTCACCCAGAAGTGAAGACCCTGTTTGGCCCAGATCCTTGGTTGGCTGTGTGGACCTTATTGATAGTTGCCTTCCAAGTGGCTTCTCTTTTTGTGGTCTATCAGTTACACTGGCTGCCTACTCTCATACTTGCTTACGTAGTTGGTGGCACCCTCAACCACAGTCTGACATTAGGTGAGTGTGTTGGTGGCACCCTCAACCATGCTCTAACATTAGGTGAGTGCGTTGGTGGCACCCGGCCTCAACAGTGCTCTAACATTAGGCAAGTGTGTTGGTGGCACCCTCAACCACAGTCTGACATTAGGTGAGTGTGGTGGTGGCGGCACTTACATAGTTTGATTTTAGTACAGTGTTACAGTGGCACCTTCATCTAGTTGGGTATAAGGTGTGTTTGGTGACATACTCAATTACTGCCTAAATTTAGGCATATGTTTATGGGACCCTCAACCACAGTTCAAATGTGTTCATGGCAATTTATATAACTATAGGTTTTTGATTGCACTCATAAAATTTGTTCAATGCAAATGAAAGATGAAATGTCTGCTATTTTAAACAATTTGATGCTTCTTTTAGAACTGTGATTAGTGACTTTTTTTCTTGTGGAGTGTTACTATCTTAGAATGTGTAAATTATGAATTTTAACTCTGAAGCTTGCCTTGCAGTAATTCATGAGATCGCTCATAACCTGGCCTTTGGACACAAGTACCCTTTGGCCAACAGAGCCCTGGGCATTTTTGCCAACTTGCCCATTGCTTTGCCCATGTCTGTCACCTTCAAGTTCTACCATCTGCAGCATCACAAGGTGACTAAGCAATCAGTTTCTTTACTGAAAAATGAATGTAGTAATAAGTAATAAATGCAAATTAATAGGAGTCAACAATTTCAAATAACCACAAATAATTTTTGGTTGCTTGATTTTTATTGATAATATCTGGATTACATGGTAGTTTTTTGTGAAAAATTACAATTAAATTAAGTAGTACTGTAGAAATTGCTCCTAACAGAAAATTTTTCTTGCCTAATAAACTCTTGGGTTATTGTACTACACTACCATACTATAAATAATTGCGCATAACTGAATATTTAAATATCAGTTCCAGGGCGTAAAAGAAATAGACACTGACATCCCCACAAAACTGGAAGCTCAGCTGTTCTGCACAACATTTGGGAAGTTTGTGTGGATGTTGCTGCAGGGCGTCTTTTATGCCTTCCGTCCGCTCTGCGTGAACCCTCGCCCCTTCTCGGCTCTTGAGCTCTTCAACATCAGCGTGCAGATTGCCTTCAATGCAGCCGTTGCCTATTATTTCAACCGTAAGTTCAGTGTACCGGTAGTGTTGAGCAATGAAAGTTTTTTAGGCAATGAGCTTGTTGGCTATAATTATAAAATTATTGTCACCTGCACAAGCACCCTCATTTTGATGATCGTAGGGAGTGGCTGAATTGAAGAAACATTTTTCTATATCTTTATCTTGGCTGTTGGGTTCTCCCTTACTCTCCATTTATATAGATACCGTTAATTTGTAGTGATGGATGATGGATAAATTTCTAGATATAAGAGAAGAATATAAAGCAATTGCTGGTAAAGACAATGAGTGCTCAGTCATATCACCATCTTTACTCAACCTAGTCAATGAGTGCAGACTGCCCAGTCCTATCACGATCATGATTGAATCGTGAACTCACCACAAACAGGGGGCCAGCCAACGTGGTTGGATTGCTACGTAACTGAGGTGTAAGGCTTATTAGTGTAATACTTTCCCTGTTATGATCTCAATTGTTGTGAATGTTTCTGATTTGATGTGTTAAGGCATTCAGGGTTTGACAGTTTGTCAGTTTATGATGACGTTTGCCAACATTAATTGGGCAGAGAATTTATGTCAATTCAGACTTATATACTTCTTCGGGACTTTTCAAATCTCTGATGATTTTATATCTGAATGCAACATTGTTAATATTGTTTAATGTGTGCAGTTCAAGCGCTGCTGTACCTTGCTGGAGGCACGTTGCTTGCTCTGGGTGTTCACCCTGTGGCTGGTCACTTCATAGCTGAGCATTACATGTTCAACAAGGGCCAGGAGACCTACAGCTACTACGGCCCTCTCAACATGCTCACCTTCAACGTCGGCTACCACAACGAGCATCACGACTTCCCATTCATCCCGGGCTCTCGCCTGCCCAAGGTAACATAGAATTCCTGCCTGCCCAGGTGCTGTCATATCCTAGCTCTTTCTTGCACCTGCACCAGGTGCTGTCATATCCTAGCTCCTGCACCTGCACCAGATGCTGTCATATCTTAGCTCCTCTCTGCGCCTGTCCCAGGTGCTCTAGTATCCTAGCTCCTTTTTGCGCATGTCCCAGGTGCTCTAGAATCTTAGCTCGTATATGCGCCTGCCCGTAGATCTCTCATATCCCAGCTAACGCACACGCGTGTTAAAGGTGCTTCTGTGATGCCTGCTCCCACAATTCATGTGTCAGCTTTTAAATTTAAGAAGTCTGCCTAGACTGAATTTGATGCTACTATTAACGCAAGCATTGAGTTGTTGTGAGGCGTCTTGTTCCTCTAGTGTTGTTGGGCAACAACTCATTTACACTACAGTCACATTAATGATGTACCCTGTTGACATGCTCGCCATTGCTCGGTAAACAAGCATATGTTTTACAGCTTCGTGCCATGGCTCCCGAGTTCTACGACACTCTGCCCTGCCACAAGTCATGGGTAAAGGTCCTCTACGACTTCGTCATGGATCCTACCATTGGGCTGTACGCTAGGATAGTGCGCGAAAGGAACATTCCTAGTGCTTCTGTGACGCCTTATTCTCCTGTATCTCCTATTGTGTCTTCAGCTGCTGTCAAGTCTGCTGGCTCCTCCAATGGAACGCAGAGTGCCACGTTCAATGACTGCCCAATCTCACGACGAGTTGCCTTCATGGCTGACGAATAGTAATCTCTTCTAGAATTAGTATAATGACATCTAGTCCAGTGTCGACTAGTGGTAAACTGATAGCTATTGACGCTTAGTTTTAAACAAAAATTGGATTTTCATTGTGAAAATTGACGCCGCCAAAATGGATGAAAATTTACTCTCTAATTACTTTCTAATCAACATTTCTTCAACTTCATTTTTTCTTGATATTCTCTCCTTTTTGCTCTCGTTTTTCTGAATTTGGGTCATTATCTTTCCTTTTTATTTTGTCACCACAGTGCCTACATATTATTCCCGGCTTGGTGCTGCAACAAACTAGGGCAACAACAGTTATTAACTAGGCTATACTTGCCTCGTAACTATGCTGCAGAATCCAGCACTTGTTTTGATGTCAATTACAAGCTTGTGTAGCAACAAGCCGTCCAATTGAGCTTCTTAAGCGAGGCCATTTTCTCAAAGTGAGCGTGCGTAGACAAGACCTAAATTGTATTGACAAGATGTCCTCCAGTCATAAATTAGTGCGCCGTGAAAAATTTGTTGGCCCCGTTTAACTTAGCAGTTTTTAACGTTTCTGCTACGTGGGTGCACGCTGGGAGTGCTCAAGGCTACTGTATGTGTAAATATTTTTAACAGTTTTGCGGACAGCAGGCATTCCTATTTACTTGCTAGTTCACACCATTGAATCCATGGAGACATGGAGTTATTTGTGTTTGTCTTTTCTCAAATTTGTGCACCACTGTGGTGCTTGTTGATTGGCTTGGAAAGTATTTTCTAGTAAATTTTGTGATGGTATTTTATGAATATATATCTAGTGAAGAAATCTTGTATAGTTTCTAGAGTATCGAACCTGGTGCGGGTGACGGCAGAAGAGAGGCGATCTTTGCTCTACTCCTCTGCCAACATGCGCTGTCGGCTCCATGCAGAAATGAATATTATCACGGTTTTAATAAAATATCTGTGTGCAACGCGTTGAAATCAGAATCTCTCAGTTTAGGGTTCATTATAAAATGATCTAGATTTTTATCTCGCTCACCAATTATATACACTGTTTAAATGACCACGAATATATTTATTGTTCATAAGGCTGAGCCAACCGTAATTTTGTGAACGATTGTGAGCTTAAGCGCCGTCAACAAAGATGGGTTCACGTTGACGGGACATTCGTTAACCATTCCTCTTAACTTAATTGTAATGGTGAATCTCGTTCGTATTTAAATTTGAAAACTAAGTGATTTCTTCTCTAATCTATTACAGCCAATGCCTTATTTTTGTGTGGCCTTTTCACTTTCCAAACTTGAGCTGTGGTCTGCACCATTATTGGTCTCTTGCTTCTCCACAGTATGTACACGTATATCATTCCGAAGTTGTCGGTGAATTGGCCTTGAGCATCGCTTTCTTCTTATTTCTTCACCTGCTTCGAGATCATGGTGCATTATTCATAAGTTTATTCTGCTATCCAAGGTATTTAACTTATGCAGAAATCGCAATGCAAAGCTATATGTTGCACAATTTTACGAACTTGCATTAAAGTGGTTCAGAAGAGCCTGTTATTGGTATTATATGCATACCGTTATTATTTCACATTCCTGGGCGGATACTTTAACTCGTCGCGCTTTCCTTTCTTCAAATCTCCTGTTTTCAAGTCTGTACAATTTGTCATATATTCCTCTATAGATACTGAAGAGTTACATGGATTATTGGACTCTGTGGAATGTCTCACCCATTGTGTCGGTCTCTTCTGCTGTATTGCTCGCTCCTTCGCGAGGTCCCCCATGGCCAGACTTTGTGGTGTAAGTCGACATCCAGAATATTTTTTGATCACATTCTTACCAAAGACGGTACGGAAAGAACAATTTGCCAAGAAGTACCTTGTCCAAAAAAGAGTGGTCTGCATTTGTTTGAATTTGTAACTGAGGTGATAGAAGTGGAGCATGGGTTGAATCCTTTTTTCTCATGATTATATTGAAATGATGACTCTTTTTTTTATAGCCATCAAAATCGCAGTGAATTTGGCCTGGTTATTTCTACTCTAATGTGGAAGCTATTGTTCAGTTTTACGCACGCACACTAGTTCTTGGGAGTAGGCCAAGTGTTCATTTTATTTATTTAGGGATGAACTAGAACCACATACAGACGGTGTTCAAAGTAGCTTTTCGGCGGACTGTAGGAAGTCTATCTCCAATATTCATGAACAACCTAACCAAATCTAGAATGAACTAAACCGACCGAAGATCTCAAGGTTACCACTGATCTACTAGATGCTCTGCCTAACTACCTCTGAAGTTTGTGTTTTTGAAATGTTCGCTTGTAGTGACTCCAACTCCGTGTCTTGTGTCCACTGTGTAGAATCAGCTGTGTCAAGTCCGCTGTGTCTTTCCTTTAATGTGACCTTTATTATTGCTTCAAATTTACACCAGTATACTATTGTCGGCTCTGTGATATGCTTTATTTGCATTTGAATCTGATGTACCAGAAGAAATATATTTATTTAATTCTGTCAAGACATGTATCGGATACCTAGAATATTAGCTTATCGGATAGTCGTAGAAATTTGTTAATTTAACACAAAATTTTGCGATCATTCGTTTCTAAAGTTACGAATGTAATTTTATTCTGTAACGAGAATTAACCATAAAGAAAGCTCCCAAGAAACGCCTGATGCCTGCAGATAAATCATCGGTATCAGAGTTTGAACTGATATCGACTCGAGGCTTCGCCATTGTTTAGGTCCTTTTCCAACATTACGGGAAAAATTCTTGAGATGTCGGTGATTCAATATATTTGTAAGTTGATTTCTTATTCGAATTGAACTGGTTAGAGAAAATAAGCAGCACTAGCACTCATCAACTAGTGTCTATGCGCCTTGCCACTAGCCTCACTCACTGAGGCTCTGATCTTCATGACTTTTGATCTTCCTAATAATTCTATAGACTAGCCACTCCTATGCAAGATTTTATCGCTGATTAGTGATCCACATTTGTAAAGCCATTCTTACTGACACTGCATTAGAACATGCGAACATTGATGAGCTTAAGTCTGCATGTTGTTTCATCTTCAATTCTTCTTGCCTCTGTTTGTCCATGTTATTTTATAGTGTATCGTAGCGATTTTAATTTAGGTTATAAGTTTTAAAGCTTCTGTAATGTATTCTTGTATTTTTTTATATACATGCCTTTATCTTTCATCCAGTGCATACCGTCTTCTTGCCGTTCTTAAGGTAACATTTTTTCTGCCCACAAACTTGTTGGTGTGTATAAAATGATTGTTTTGTTCGTAATTACAAATTCATGTTATTACAAACGCACGAGTTCGAAGTTGGCGTTAGATGCGTGTGAACCGAAATGCTGCACGTAACGGAGTTGGGATGCCGGTTAGGCTATAGGCTGATATTCGACGCTTCGTACAGAGTTGCGTGAGAGGTCTTAGGTCATTTCAGTATGAGTTTCCGTGAATATATTTCTTGAACTGCCTTTAATGAAGTTAACGAGTGCTCTTGCCTTATTGGTTTATATATATAAATATTTGTGATTCTATTATTGGGTATAACGCTTGTATCCATCACACCGTATGTACTGCCGCTAGACCGAAGCACGGATTATGAAAACATGCCCCATCACTCATGGTTAAAAACTTGACCAAGTTGTAATTTTCTGCAACATGCATAAATATTGGTTTTTAATACCTCGTTCCATTAGGCGACATTGAATATTACTATTAACGATTGTTAATTTATTGGCATTTTATAATTGAAGTATATTCAATTGATCAGATCTCCTTATTAGCTGTGGTTTGATAGCTGTAAATGTTTGAAAGTAATTTAAATATGATCCTCTTGAAGATGAAGTCGAATAAGGCTCGTTCGCTATTTTAATCAGACCTGGACTAGTACATCGTTGTCGTTCCCTATTGTACCTGTTAGAGGTGATAGGATGTTAGCAGCTCAATAGTTGTTATGTTACTACTTCACGTTACTGGTATCAAGTAATAGCCTTCCATTTAGTTCATAAAACACAGCAGTAAATCCATGTCCATTAGTTGCACGGTTTAGTCATTGTTGTTGCGCTGCAAAGTTCTATGCTCGCCGCTGCCGCTCGTTTGTGCCGTGCGGTCTTCATGTATTGCCAAGTTCAATGTTCGTGTTGAACGCATAGGCCTATGCCTGTGTGTGTTAAGCGATATTTGTTGCATATGACGTCTGTTGCCAGGAGCTGGTTGCCGTGCAAGCTCTACACATCTACGAATCATTTTAATCTTCTAATATATACAATCATTAATAGTTTCTGAGCATCCATGCACTATAAACCGTACTGAACTGTGCGCTTAATAATGCAGAATAAGAGATTTAAAGCTCTGCCAACTACTGTAGGGTCGTAATTCTGATTACCACTTAATCGATAGGTGGTCTACAGGTTTAGCGTTATAATGCATTTACGGAACCAATCATATCGTTAAGCATATATTGCTGCATTTTGTAAACAGATACAATGATCAACAATTCTTGTAAGGTAATGTTACGACAATGTCTTATTCATGTATGAAGAATCTTGCTGCCGAACCTAGAGTACTGCAGAGATCTGTTAGCAATTACTGTGAATGATTATATTTTATCGTGCACTGCAACGTTATCTTCACTCTCGCCTAGCATGGAAATTGTTCTTCCATCATTTCCATATCTAAGTATCAATATTCTTCTATTTACCATTCACCAGTTATTCAACTGATTCACGGAAAGATTTTAACTTCAAGTCTCTGTTACTATTGTATGTTATTTTGATATTGCACTTGTTGCCGTACTGGGGCCATACTTTCAAAACTCGCTAAGTGAACGTAAGTACTTACGCTCTATTTTCTTGTCTGTGATTGGTGGATTTTGCTTGAAAGGCCGTCAATGATTGGCTGATGAACTTGCGATCTCTTAACTTTTTTGAAAGCATAGGCCCTGGTTAACTAGGTTTCTCACCTAGTTAGCTCGACGCCTCGTTTGTACGCCACACGCGGCGATCATGTTTGCAGCGCGTTTTCTCTATGTTGATCTTGGCGCTTACAACGCGTACGCATGCGCGTAGAAATGGGAGTGAGTTTAATATGTTGATGCGCTAGTAAGAATAAGAAATATACTAGTTAATTGCTTCTAAATGTCGCGGGTTGAAGAATAAGTAAGACTAGCGCGAGTTATATCTGAGTATGAGGGGTTGATGCTTGAGATGGAAACATATGAGTTAGTTGAGTATAACGAATTAATGCGTGAGTTAAGGTAAGCATTGGTGATACTTGAAGCCTTGATTGACTGCCTTACCGCACGTTGTGAGAGGCAGGGTTCTGGTGCAGAGTGAGAGTCTTGGCCGAGCCGTCCCTGAGATGCGCGGGCGACGGATACCTGAAAGAGATATCCTCAAGCTTTGTGCTTCTTCCTACACTTATTACATTACATCAAGAAAATATCTACTCAGCTAAATATATGGTTCCTAATTGACGACGTCAACAGCTTATCGATTGTATGCTATTTGCATTCTGCACGATCCTATTTTGTTTCTTTAATCGTCATTCAATCCTACCTTGCCTCTCAAATTTTTCTGCAATCCTAACCTAATTCCCATATCCTTCAGTCCTACCTTTCGTTTCACATCCTCCTTCAATCCTATCTTTCCTTTCATATATTCCTGCAATTCTACCTTAAATCTTATATCCTTTAATCCTACCTTGCTTCGCATATCCTCATGCAGTCCTATTTTT